GCGGCCTTCGCCCAGGGGCGGTGGCGGGAGTCGGGCCCCGAGCTCCCCCGGTTGTTGCACCCCCCTCCCCCAGCGTCCCGTCACCTGAACCAGGGGACGGGTCTCCTCGTCGCAGCCTGTTTTCTGCCATTTCTGTAGTTATTGGGTAACTTGTGGGTTCCGCGCCAGAAGCTGGGCTTGGAAACAGTTCGCCTCTTTTTTTTTTTAAATTGAAATCTTCTTATCCCACACGCTCAGCCGTGCTGTTCTCACCACTGCACGTGTGTGGTGACGTTTATTTTTTTGCTCTTGGAAGACGACCGGGTAAAATGATGGGATGATCTCTTACACTGGAGTTGTTGCCGTGGTGAGGCAAGAGCCCCTGTCAGCCCTCGGGTTTTCCATCTGCTGCATTCTTAACCCTCCTGGCAGCTCTGTTATTAGCTTCCAGGATAAGCACGAATGCCAGAGAAAACTGTTGATTAATCCAAAATGTGGAGCTCTTCTCCTGTGGCTCTTCATTATTTCACATCTTCAACATTTATTTAAATAAGTTTTAGTAATTAGCGAAGGTTTCTACGTGCAGCTGTAAGCGTCAGTACACAAATTTCTCCGAGGTACTCAAACGAATCATGAGAGATCAGCTGATACTTGTTGTGCTGGGTTGTTTCCATCATGGGAATATGTGTAGTATGCCTTTGATAACTAATCCGAAGATAAGAAGTTACCATTAACGTAAACTTTCTGGGCAAGTAAACGTAACGTGATCAGCAGCTTCACGGATGGATGAGTCAATAACTAGATGGGCTAAAAATGAATATTTACCTGATGGCGTTTAAAAGTGACTTAAACGCTTTGATTCTGTTGTAATGGATTGAATTTGTCGAGTGACCAGTGTTGACGCTTGACAGCGTATTGATTCCACTTTCTGTAAGCTCTTCCACAGCAAATTACGTCTTTTGAATACTTCATCTTCAGGGCCTTGCTCACGTGTGTAGGATCTCAGACGCGTACTTCTTGTATGTGTCTTCCAAGTACTTTTTGCGCTGCCGTGCAAGTCATTCATTGGGAATTTTTAATATAGGAAACTGGTATGTGCTTGTCTTGCACAAGCAAACTTGACTTTTGGCAGTATAATCAGCCGTGTTCTTTTTATGACGTTAAATATGTAGTAGAGAAAATAGTGGATTACATAACATTTTTGCAGAAGCACTGAAAATTATTTTTGCATCCCATTGCTTTCATTATCTGAGTTTCTATCCAGTAATATTCTGAATAAACCTTAGACTTGCTCTGATTAAGAACTAAGGCTTTCCTTAAAGTGGAAAAAATCCATTGTGGTTTGATAGATGGCTGTTGTCATTTGGAGGACATCACCGTATGACTTGCAATCCTTGGACGTGACACGCTGGGCTGCTTTTAGTTGCAAGGCTTTAGATAATACTAAGGAATTTGTTTTCATTTTTATTTTTTAGTACTGTAACCGATTCTTTAGTACAGATGCTTCTGTAGTGGTGCCAGTGATCTAATTATTATGGTGTTTCTACTGTTGGATAGTAAGGCTTGGGCTGTAAAATATTTGACCAAAAAAAGGTCCAATGCAGCAGCCAGTTGCAGATCTTTAGGTGAAGATATACTGTTTGTCAGGCAATAGTAGGGATATTTGATGAAAAACTTGTAGAAACCACCTTCACAGCAGATCTTTTCCGCTGATGTTCTTAGGATAAGGTTGTTTTTCAGCCTCTATGTTGCAATGTCACCAAAATTTGGGAAGGACGGGAGATCCAACGTGTCAGTGGATTGCCTGTCATACTTGGTCAAGCACATGCTGGCAAATGAAGAACCCAGTTGGGTTTTTTTGCTGTCCCCGTTACATTGTATATCTCTTTGGGCTGTGTTAGGACCAAAGTTTACCTTGCAAAGGCCCATCATAAAAATGAGGTGGCCATATTCAGGTTTCAGGAAAAAAATAATTGTCATTTCCTGGGAGGCTCGAAGAACTGCTGGACTTTGGTATTCCAGATGCCCTAGTCTTATTTATTTAGCAGGTTTTGTGGGTTCTTTTTTAGCTTTTCGTGTTGCTAGTTAGGGGTCATGTCCATATTTAATCTCGGGACCAAAAGGTAGCAAAGCTATAAATATCTGGAGCTGCTTAGCTTCCACAGCTATATTTTAAGATAAGATTTTAGATGTGTTTACTATTCATGTTCTTGAATGTATAAACCAGAACTGTTCCATATGCAAATATAGACACTGATCTCTTCATTCAGAGACAGCCAGAATTTCTTGACCATGCTGAACTTTGCCTCAGAGCACCTTCTGCCTGGACAGCTGAGTGAGAGGAGAGCAGAAGGCAGACCTCACGGAATTGAGCTGAAGATGCAAACGGCTTTTTGGTCATTCTGCTCCTTTGTGGGACTGGTTGTGAAGCTGCTGGGGCAACTTGGGGATTTTTGCAACCCGTGCCAGCATGCCAGGTTATCCTTTGGTTCACGTTTGAAACTTACTCCCCGCGTACAAGAGCTGTGCCTGAAGGACCTGCAAGTCACGTGCGGTTTGAGAGCCGCAGTCCAGCTTTGTTTTGGATGGATGCACATGCATTTCTGTGTTAATTAAGATTCTTTCTATGAAAGATTATTGCCCTTCCCCTTTTTAATACGTGATAAAGTCTTTAGAGAAGAGGGAAGTTTTTCATTTTCTTGGAGGTTCCTGAGGGAAAACAAAACATTTTTGGTTTGTTTTTTAGGTTTTGGTTGGTTCCCCCACCCCACCCCACCCCGCAAAGCCATTGCTTTTTGCTTGTCGTATTACAAATGTAGCTTTTGGCTGTGGATAAAAAATTAAGGATACTTTAAAACTAGTGTTGCCAACCAGCATGGGAAGAATTCCTAAATATCCTTTAGAGCTATTTGGGTTTTGTACTAGTTTTAGCTAGTAAACTTTTAAAGAGATCTGTAAAAATGTATGAAGAGGAGAAAGAAAAATTACATGGTAATTGGATTTGAAAGATTCTGTAGATCAGTGTTCAGTTTTAAAATCTTGGTGATTCTTCACATTCCTTTACTATTTTCGGGTTAAAGTACATGATTTCATATGTGTGATCAGTGGTCAGAAGCTTTTATTAAGTAGTTAGAGTTAGCAGCATGTCTTTTTTTCTTTATCTCTGAATGCTTAACCTGGTGAGTGATACCTGGTGTAGTAATTTAAAAGATGTCATAGTCGCACCAAGAAAACACAATTTTCTCCTGAAAATGATGTACAAATGTTAAGCTGTTACTCTTTGTACTTTTCATTGATGCTTTCACTGAATGCACTACAGTTGCTACATGGCTTGTTTTGACAGTGAAACATTTCAGATACTACTTTTTTTTTTCCCATTTTAATTTAATCTTTAAGGTTTTATGTATTAGCAAAACTGATTTGCATAGTAATGCAGTTTAAAGTTTTGTGCAAATTAATGCCTCAGAAAACTTGGAGTGAGCTAATTGAAGGCACCAACTTTGAAGAGATAAATTTTTCTTTAATATTGAAAACAACCATAATGATAAAATTATAGTATACTACAGTTCTATATGACACATTTTTCTGTATATGATGCTGTAAAATAATGTACACAGGTCAATAAGTTGTAGAAATTCAGGTGCTAAGGGTTATTAAGGTATCGTAGAAAGTAAAAGGGCGAACTGTGTAGTTAGAATGTGAACTCCCTTTGTATAAAGAACACTCGATCTTGTCCATAGATTGCACGTTACATAATCACTACTAGGAAACAGTGTTTCAGAATGTCTTCATCATGTGGACAACTGCAGATTTTTAACTTGTTGCCATTAAAACTTGTAAAATTGTCTCAGAAGAAAAATCAGGACTGTGTGAGAGTTGATCTTTGTCAACACAGATGTTCACCAAGCAGACGCTGAGGACAAATAGTAAGAGTACAGTTGTTTAACCATAGGTTATATTTGAAAGTTACATTGGTGTACCTATTTCAGTTGATGAACTGATGACTTACAAAAACAATTATTCTAAGGAAATAACTAGGATTACTATAATTATTCTTTCTTTTATGAATAGCTGCTACTATAAAATACCTTTATACCTGCCTAAGTGCATTAAAAGCAAGCTGTATGTCACCTTGATTACACTAGTTTTGCTGGAACAGTGCAACTTTATGCCTTTAGGTTGGGCAATTAAATCTGTAAATGTTTGTTTGCTTTCCTCAGGTTTCAGAAATGTATGCTTTAGTATTGCTCTTGCTGTGGGATGATGAGATACTGCCACCCATTTAACTAGTTCCCAAGCCTTTGCTATAAAGCAGCTAGGAAAGTACACTTACATACTGTGAGCTGCTAAAGTTCCTGTTGGTGGTGCACCATTATAGTTCAAAATTAGATAGCCTTGACTTGTAGGCTGTTCTTCTGTGGCTAACCATTGTTAGAAATCCTGTAGAGAAGTCCTGTATTATTACTCTTAATTCTCTTTCATTCTTCATGCCTCTAGCGCATGAGGTATGCTCTGCTGCAGGCCCTGCACAGTTGGTGTTTACCATAGCCCGCAGGAGAATTGCGATTTTGAGTTGGTATGCTACTGCCAGCCCTCATTAGGCCTCTAAATGATACTCTCTTGCAGAGAGTGGGTTGCAGTCTTGTGTTCAGTTTTCAGTATTTGGAATATATTCCCAGGGTCTTATTTTGAAAATAACTTTGATTTATTCACTATAATCTGAAGGCAAATTAAAAATGTAAGATGTTTTTATCCTTACAGGAAGGAAGAAACAGAAGCTTGCCAAAGAGAGAGCAGGGCTTTCCAAGGTAATACAGTTTTCAATAATGCAGTGCTATTTTGAAAGATGTTTCATTTGTATTATTTCTAAGATTTGTTTAAAGATCTGTTTTGATTCCAGCATTACAAACACTTCTGCAGATATGCAGTCTTTAGTTTTTTTACTGCTCACAAATAACCATATGAAATGGTTGTTCCTTTTTTTGTGTCAGATAGAGGCCTTGTACTAGAAAGTACAACATTTACTGTGTGATTTGATGGTGTTTTCTCTTTACGGTATGTGCAAGGACTTTTCAGACTTAAAAATCATTGATGGGATACAGCTATAACTGAACCTGATATTTTTTCGCTAGAAGTATTTGATTTCTCTTTCCTTGTCACCAATGGATCCTGGAAGAAAAAATAGATTTATCTTCACCAATTTTAAGAAATATAATTGTGATAAACATAACACACCTTAGAATTTATATTTGCTACAAAATTGTGTACTTAAACTGAGTAGAGGTATTTCAGGCTCTGTCTCTACAGGTGTGTGATGCAATGCTATGAGACCTGAGTCTGATTTTCAAAAACATTCCATGTACATTTAACTTAGTGGTGACACTTCTAATTATTTTTTGCCAGTTTCAGTGTAATAGTATGGTTGTGTGTGTGTTTGATTTCAGTTGAGAATGTTTTCTGCTAACTTGTTTATTAACTGATGTTTAAGGGCCAACTTCAGTTTTACTCTGTGTGTTATAGTTGCCTGATCTGAAAGATGCTGAAGCAGTTCAGAAGTTTTTTCTTGAGGAGATTCAGCTTGGCGAGGAACTACTAGCTCAAGGTAATAGCATAATTTTTTTTGAGGGTTAAGTTGTAAAATAGTTTTTCTTTACCTTTGCTAGAAGATAATTTTTATATACTAAGATCTTCTGGGGAGTCAAATTCACCTGGAAAAATCTGTTTACTTGTTTCTAACCTCCTGTGTTCAGAAGATCCAGCAAGGGAGGAGGAAAGAAAAGTGTGGATTGAGTCTCAGGAATTTAATCCACTGTTGATGGATGTTTTATGTAAATAGTTTACAGTGTGGAAGAAGGTTGATTTCAAAACGTTATGATTTGTTATACAGGTGAATATGAGAAAGGTGTTGATCACTTGACCAATGCCATTGCTGTGTGTGGACAGCCGCAGCAGCTACTACAAGTTCTACAGCAGACTCTTCCACCACCAGTGTTTCAAATGCTTCTAACTAAGCTCCCTACAATAAGCCAGGTATGTGACACGTTCCCTGTTGTTTTGGGTTGAAAATAATTTAACTACTTCTCTTATCCACTACATTGGTCTTGAGTATTGTTTTTTGTAATAAGTATTTTGTATGTTGGTTGGATTAAAAGAAGCTTTTTTTCACATGAAACATTAAGAGGTATATATGAAAAACACCATGAGCATTAATAGCAAACACGGTAAAATAGAAATACAAAACTTCTCTCATGCATAGGGTATGCTAAGCTCTTCTAAAGTAGAGACGTCTGACCGCGGCTCTGATACTATAACTGGATCCACTGTTTCCCAAATACAAGTTGGGGGATCAGAAAAGCGGTAACTGTCTTGCACTGGGTCTTGAGGGGTTTTTTTTTGGTGTGGTCTTTTTTTTTTTAATTATGTATCTACAAGTGTCTGTAAGTGCTATAAAAGTCCATTAGAATTAATCTGTTGCCTTTGCTAGCCTGTTGCTTCTGGGCCAGCTATAAACACAAATTGTTAACTAGCACCAGAACACATGACAGTTTTGAAAGATTGGGGGTTTCCCTGATGATAAAAGTGTTTGTAGCTCTGTGTATAAAATGCTCTCCCTTTTTAGCCTGAGTACTGTGCAGGTAATGTTGGTAATATGCTAGCAGGTGAGTCTATTGTGAAATAAATGTTTTACGTTCTTGGAAGTGCAAGGGTGCTGCCTAATGGTGTTACCTCGCATAAAGCAGAGACTCAGTGCTGTGCATCAGTCAGCTCTCTTTACAGCTCAGGCCTGGTTACATTTCGGTTTAAGGTCGATATAGTTAGTAAAAACACTGAAAGGTGTCAGGTACACAAGATGTAAACACCTGGGGAAACAATGGAGCAAAAATGTTTCCTTAGAGAACAGTGCCAAAACCACACACAGAGGTAATATCTTGAGGCTGATAGGATATTATTTATCTGACTTCAGCTTTGTTAGGCATTGCACAGTACGTAATTTCTGCAGAACTCGCTTCAAAAACTTATGTCAAATAGATTACTGTTTTTAACAATCAGTTTGCTCAGTAATTACACTGCTTAATGTTCAGTGTAAAATTACATTGCTTGATAATCAGTTGCCTACTGTCAATTTTATGTAATTGTGAATGAGTTTTTCTCCTTCTTACAGAGAATTGTAAGTGCACAGTGCTTGGCTGAAGATGATGTTGAATGAGGTCACACCACAACAGGGGGAAAAAAAAGTTTTCTTACCCCAGAAGATGAGCATCACTAGGGGGATAAAGGGGCAAACATAGTAGTTAATGGACTGTGTACCACATCGGGTTCTACCAGAGTTAAAATTAACTTTGTGTAGGTGGGTTTCGCAGGATTTTATTTATTATCCCAGTGAAAAGTGTATTTTGATAAGAATTCATTTTATAAATACACTGTGTTGAGTTATCAAAGTATCACTAACTTCATTATTATTAAAATATGCAGTTGTAATGTTGTACATATAAAGACATAAAACTACGACCTATTAAAAACCCAATGCTCATTTTTGAAAAAACAAAGTTATGGCAATAAAGATTTATCTGCACTTGTGTGTCCCTATAGTACTACTTTAAATTTCAGAACATTTGGGTGTCAGAGCAAATGATCTAAAAATGACTTAACATTAAAATTTATTTTTAGCGTTACGGTGGGGAATGGTAATAGATGACTGGCTGCGGAAAGAATGACAACTCCATTTCTGTCAGGAACAATAACATCCAAAGTGATGCAAGTCAAAACTGTATCTGGCAAACATGAAAGCTCTGTTAATGCAGGTGTCCGAAATAAAGCTGTTCGGAATAGAACCTGGGGCAGATTGTAAGAGCACAAAGGTTGTTTTTTTGGAAAGCTTGAAGCCTTTTTGCAAGACAGGCGGCTAGCATTTCAGTCTCTGGTCTTGAAGACCATAGAAAATGGCTCTTAACAGTCTTTGGCATTTGCCTTACAAAAAACTGCACTGATAAGGTAAGACAATGATATCCCCAGGCAAAACTAGCTAGTGTAATTAGAAAGATGTTGTAAAATTTCGGTATGGTGTGATACTGTAAACTTGAATTTAGGTAAGTTTTCCTTTGCTAGTGAAAAGGAGGCAAGTAATACACGGACTCAAGTGAGTAGCAGAAGCGTACTTCTGAAAGCAAGTTTTCCATGGATAGGATGCTCTAAATGTCAAAATAGACTGGCTTCTACTGTTCTCTGGTTTTGTGCTATTGCCACTCAGGTGGCAGAAGAACCACTTAAAAATTTAGCTTTATATTTTTGGCTTGGTGACTTGTTTTAACTTGAGGAGGAGAATGCTTTGAGGTGTCTCTTTCAGACCAGCTGATAGTTTGTGCTGATGATGCCAATACATTAATAGTAAGGTACTAGGTGGCATAGTCCAAGTAGAAGTGAGATACTCTGAGAGCAGTTTAGCCAACATTCCTATCTGTCTCTGTCTCATTTCAGCCTGGTGTAAGTTTCTGTAAGGGCAGATTCTTCCAAATGGTGAGTCTCAACCTTTAATAAATTGCCTCACACAGAATTTTTGAGAGGTTAAGCGGATAGTTTATGGTCACCTAGCAGTCAAATACCTGAGTTTGGGAGTAGAAATGGCTCTTACTGAGTCAGTCTGCTTAGACAGTTTGCCATGGAAGAGATATTTCCCCTTAACCCCTTGAAAACACAATTTTCAAAGATTTGAGGTGCTATTGAATCTTTCTGTAACATGACAAATACTGAAGCTAATGGCTGGTACAAACAAAAATTTTTTGATCAGCTGGCTGTAGTTTAGTCTTTTTGTTGTGCTTGAATTGTTCAGGTAGTGTAAGGTAAAAGTAAAACTTAGTAGCCATAATCTTCAGGTGATAGTGGCTGGTCTTCTCTTTTCCTTTTAATTTATTTTAGAGGGACCAAGTTATTCTGCACCTAGAATACTTAACAAAAATACTGTGAAATTGCAGAAGGTTCTATTTTTAATGAGTACAGTGAGGCTTTTTGGAGGAGTTTTTCTTTTCCTTTCTAACCCTTAAAGGTAAAAAGTAAGAATTCATAGGTTATGCTGACAGAACTGTTAGCGTGTTTACCTGCTGTCCTTGCTGGTGGTGGTCGCTTCAGTGTAGTATCTTTCTGGTTCAGCTTTTAATGTCGTCTTAAGGTAAATCAAACTCTTCCCCCTGCCTCAAAAAACCAAACCCAAACAGCGTAAGACCAAAGTGGCACCCTTCCTTCAACCTGAACAATTTTCTACACTCTTTGGTATAATGATGACAATCTGAATTCATAATTTAGCTTACAGCAAAGCTCTCCTGAGCTACGTATGTTTTAGCAAACTTGGGTGTCAAATCTTCTGATTTCAGTGGAAGACTTGGTGGTAGTCTGATTATGTCTACAAATGGTCATTGCTTTAAGAAACATCATAGACACACATACTACTTTAACCCTGTTTAGTTTTCTTGATCTTGCAAAGTTAGATGCAAGCAAAATTTTAGATAGCATAGGTTTAAATGAAGCCTTAAGTACAAATCTGTTCTCATATTTGGTAACCCAGAAGTACCTGGTTAGTATGCTAGAACAAGCTCTGATACCTGTTTTGAGTGCCTTGGCTAATAGGGTGGGAATGAGGAATCCTTTTAACAAGGCTTAAGATTATTTTTTTTTCCCAAAATCTCCTGATGAAGCTAATACCTTACAAACTGTGAAGACTTGAAGATACTGTCTAGAGTGGGAGTTTGCTGTTGCTCCAACAATGGCAGGCTGACACTGCTGTAGCTAGCATGCACAGCCCACACATGTAGGAGGCTGTAATTTAGAACTGGTTTCAGACATAAGCAAAGTGCAGGTCATCGGAAGTGCAGCAGTAATGATGGATGTTAGTGCATCAGTAGTAGTAATGCCATTGCATTAGCTGTGCATAGTACTGTATTTCTTTCCACCTGTGTGAATTAAAAAAAGGTGGAAGTGAGCCATTCCAGTTGTGGATTTGCTGCTGCTGAGCTCACAGTTGCTGGTGAATAAGATCTGTAATCTTATTTTACTGCAGGTAAAACTACTAATCTTTCTCCCAGAAAGAGCCATCTTCCCTTCTGTGTTGCTCCAAGAACAAGGCACTTGTTTTCACCACTAAGAGGATTTCTCATAAAGGAAATCAGATGTCTGTTTGTTTTATGTTGGGCAGTCTCATATCATCAGTTATGAGCTTCTCAGGCAGCTTTCATAGGAGAAAACCCCGGCTAGTTTCATGATCATGCAGGACTACCTTTGATGTCTCACCATTAAGTTTTCTAGATAATGGAATCGAATCCAAAACCAGAGTGATCAGGCACACACTGAATCATCTGGCACTAATTTCCTTACCCTGGGGGATGACAGAATATTATTGTTGCCCTTAACTTGAAAAATGGAGAAGTCCCAGCCCTGCTGTGTAGGAGGCCAGCCAGCCATCATCAAAGTAAGGCTCCAGCTATTTATGCACCCAGAAGAATCTTTCTAAAGTTTCATTTGTACATCTGTTGATGGTGTGTTTAAAGTCCCTTAGGCTGAACAGTGGCCCTATATGACCGTTGTGTTAAAATTAACATGAGTTAAACTTCAAGGGAATCTTTGAAGTGGTCACTAAGTGCTTTTAGTGAGTGTTTTAAAGGCATGTTGTACTATGCACCCATGCTTCTGCATTTTTTAAAATACGGCTATGAAAAGGGCTGACGTGAAAAAAAAAATTTCTTTGAGGCTTCTGTTGTACCCAAGTCTTGGTTTGGTTTTTAATTTGTGTATTTACACTGACCAGTATAGCTTACGGTCTCCCTTATGCAGTGACCAATAAAAGCCTGTCGGCACAGCAGTCAAATCTGACCGAAAGCCTGTTGGAAAGAGCTGAAACTTGTGCTTAATCCACAAGGAGTGGGCTAGCTTTCATCAGAGGCACTCCAGAAACTGAGCTTCTGGTGTTTTCTGCATTTATACCAAAACGGATCTTCCTAAAGAAGAAGATGTGGACATCTGATGCTGTTCTTGGAGGGCAGAGTTTGCCATGTCCTGTGTATGAATGTGTGAGTGAAGCCATAGAAAACATCTGGCCCTTCCGTGATGTTTCTGTACCAAACTGTCCAGCATACTGGCGCTAGGTAATGGACAGCTTTTTCAAAGTACAGTGGTTTCTGTATTTTCTTGCAAAGAAAATACAGGTTCTCACTTCTTTCCCTGCAGTAGGAGGTTGAAGGTGCTAGTTTTACAGAATATTTACTGGACAGCTTTTGATAAGGTCACTCCCTTGTTTTCCAATCACTGCTGTAACCTAATAATCATGAACTCTTAAAAGCCTCTCCACTGTAAGCTTTTGACTCCAGACACATAGTTCCAATTCCTGTTTTGTAAAGGCCAGGCCTTGATTTAATGGGTTGTCAGATGCATGTCATCCTGCAGCGCTTGCTCGCAATTGCCATTATTTCCCTTACACCCTGAGGATGTTCTTGACTCATCTTTGGGGTGAGAGGATGGCCATTGGTGCTCGCCCACTGCACGATAGTTGCTGAATGGAGTGTTGTTGCAGCTAGCACAATGTTGCTAGAGCCTGCAAATCTGTCCAGATGGTCCATGCTGCAGGATGGTTATGAGGGGCTTTCGTGTATGAAATTTCTGCTGTGCATGGAGGCGGAAAACAGCTGAAGTCAGATAGTTCTGCCTTTTCACAACTTGGGCTCTTACAATTAAAAACTAGATTTGGTCACACTATCATTTGAGCAGGTCTTAATCTAAACAGCAGAGGGCAGTTTTGCACACGTTCTGTGCAAGCTCATCCTGCAAAATCCTAATTTTTAGAATCTTCCTGACTGGTGAGGTGATGCAATGCAGCATTTTGTCCAGACAAATTTGGCACAGCGTATAAGACAGGATCAGTGGGGCAGCAGTGACGTGTTTCTACTGACACCTAGTTCTGGCTTTTTAAATCCTGTGTTTTTGGTTTGTTGTGATGACATGATTAGAAGGATTTCCCTTTTCTTTCTCTCTATCCCTCAACATAAACCAGGTATATAGATAAGCCAGCTGCATTGTACGACTTAAACTCTGCAACAAAATGAACTGAATCTCATTCCCAGGCATGCAGGAGAGGAGTTTTCCCCTGCCCAGCTGTGATTTTTCTGGATGAGTTTTGCTAGCTGGAGTGAAAGGAGAGCACTTGTTAACTGCAGTAGGGGTGGAAGAGAAATCTGCATCTTGAGACTCTGCCTGGAGTTGGACTCTGGCTGTGCTGGCCCATGTGAGAAGGGTCAACCAAAAAAAAAAACCAAAAACCAAAAAACAAGGCAAGGTCTTATATGTTGGTGACAGGATGCAGTTTCGTTGCTGGTCAAATTTCAGCTTAAGGTGGCAAAATCTACTCACCCTGTAGCTGGATTGTAGTCTACAATCCTGTAGCTGACTTGAAGTGAGCTGGTGGGGTCTCTCTCATGTCTTGGAGGCAGCTATTTGTATTGTAGCGGCATCCTGGCTTGAGACCAAATCTTAACTACTCCTGCACCTCAGGAGGGGTTTTTCTCTGCTTCCTGGGCTCTGTTTGCAGGGGGAAAGTTTATGTTTATGCCATACAAGTAAATGGAAGCTTTCAGCCCTTGTAGCTATTGATCAGCATTTTTCCAAACATTCACCTTGTTAGTAGAAATTTTTCAAAGTCTGCTTAAAACATGGCAAGTATCTAGAGAAAGAGAGCTGTTTAGTAAAAGGTACTGTCTCTGCAAACTATGCTTCTCCTTCCTTAGGTCAAGCTGGATATGTTGCACTCTGTAAGATAGCCTGGAAGATACAGAAATTTACTGTAACAAATCAATCTTTTTGCCTGTTTTGGCATGTATGTAAAAGTGCATTTCCTGGAGCTCTGAAACAACCTGGTTAGCATCTTTTGTTGTATTTAATATTATTTAATGAGAAGGAATGTACATTCAGCTTTGATGATTAAAATGACAATGATTATTGCATGAATTTGTTAATTATAATTCAGTGACTAATTAAATGGAGAAATGGAGAAAAAGGATTCTTGAGCAAGCATGTTCTTTGAGAAACTCTCCTCTGGTGTTTTAAATTGATAGTACATGCCTAATCAATTCATAACAGTATCTCGTTATTGGTGGGAACGGTCTGGTTTTAATGGAAATTCACTTTCACCACACATTGACCTGGTATAATGTAATGGCTTGGTCCTGCAAGTTACTGCAATGAAGACTACCAACTCCTAGAATTATTAATTTATAGTTTTTGCCTATATAAAGAAGAGAAGCCCCATCTGACCCCAGGTTGCAGCCTCCATGTTTATTGAGTTCTAGGTCAGGTGTTTGCTATAATGACACTCAGCTGAATTTGCATGATAATGAGGGGTTGCTATTTGATTTACATTTCATTTGCTTTTATCTCTCCATCTGAAGTTTTGAGCTTTAACATCAGGTCCCTTGGCTTATGTTAGAAGTTGTCTGACAGAACTAAGGGCCCTTTTTTACTTCTCTGTAGGGATGTTATCTACTGGCCATTGGCACTGGCAGAATTCTTAGCATGAAATTATTATTATTACTTCTGTATCAGCAGAGATGTGTGTGGCACTCTGAAGAATCTGTCAAGATGAAGTGTCTGCTTCTGCAAGCTCACAGCCTGCGGTCCTGATCCTGTAATTTACTCTGCATGGTCCTTTCCTCATGGAAACCAAAGCAGTCAAGAGCAGGACATTGGGACAGTGACACAGGAAGGGAGAAGGTAAGGTTTAGGGTAGTATGATTGTTTTGGTAGTTATTGGGTGGGTGTTTTGTTTATCTGAATTATGGATAAAGCCCTAAAGCTTGCTCCTCTTCTACATCACATTATTTTTAGACTGGCTGGCTAATCAGTGCTAGTTACTAGTATCGTCAGGAAAAACCAGACCTCAACCAACCATAGACCTGCTTATAAATCATGAAACCAACCAAAAGGAAAAAAGCATTAAAGGCACTCTATAATTGAAAAGATTGGAAGCACAACCCACCCCCAACTGAAATCAAATAACATGAACTGTAGAGCACTGGGTTAATTACTCTGCTGGCAGTCCTGCAGTTCATAATTGGCTTCTGCATTGTAAATGTAAGAAGCAATCTTTCAGAAATCTGGCTTGCTGTTTGATAGCAACTTTAAAAGGAACTCTGACTGTTCTGTCGAAACTTAGTAATCAGCCTACACCATAGTGCCTGAAATTTGGTGACACCGTCATGCAAATAGGAAAGCTGGGACATAGGTATTAAGCAGGCATAAATAAGGCAAACAGCAGTGCAGTGAGTCAGCGTCCATCCTAGATGTTGGATTGCAAACTGAATACATGACAACCTGATAAAATGGTTGAAAACTGGAGAGGTACTTTACTGAGAGAAAGTTGTAGCCCAGTTGTGGACAGTTGACCCATCCTTAAAAACAATGCAGCTTTCTAAAACTTGCTTCTGATGCTCAAAGTCCTCGTGGTTAGAGCAGATGTTACCTGTTGGCCAGGATGGCTCCATCCTCCATTTTCTGCCTGGAGCCAGTATCTGGAAAGGAGAGGAGGATATGCCTGGAAAGAGACGGGTTTGTGGTAGCCATATAGCCAGAAGGTCCGGTCAGCAAACCGGTGTGTCCTGCCATCCTCAAGAACCAACAGACTGTCTGGTTCTTAGTGGGAGCTTCAGCTAATCACTCGGGCACCTTGGCTTCTCTGGGCAACCGTGGAAGTAAGTGCTAGTAAGTTAAATTGGTTTTCTAAAGGGCACAGAAACCCTGGGATGGAATCTGTTGATATTGGGGCAGTGCTCTCTCCATGCTTTTTGTCATAAAATGTGAAGCAGGGAAAACAATTGGCTTCTGTGTAGAATCCCTCCCTTCATTTCAGTTGTTTCCAGGATGGTGTTTGTTATGAGACTCTGCCAAGGTCAGGAGCAGTGTTTTCTCTGCTGGGTTGCCCTCAAAATATTGCAGCAGCAGGCCTGATTGATAATATTTGTCATTAGACTGTAGATCTTTTCACAGATGGGTGTCTCCTACCTTGGGCAGCACATTTTCAATGAAACAGTGATCTCACCCTGATTTCAAAGAAAAAAATTAAGAAACAGATTGCAGTCTGACAGAACCAGCAATGGCTCAGACTTGGGATCCTTCATGGCCTTTGCAATTTTTTAATCTTACCATTCAAATTCTGCCTCCCCAACTCCTGGTAATGTTGCAGGTGTTGTGTGCTTGGTCTCAGGGGGTGACAACATAAGCTTTATTGTTGATTGATGCAGCAGGGATTTTGTAAATTCAAAGTATTTGTAAGTCATCATAGTATTCATAGTCACCAAAGTATTTGTAGAGCTTTTGAAGAAATGCTGCTCTAAGACTGATTTCACTGGAGCAGCATAGATTATCTTCATTTTGGGGAACTTAAATGCATTTTCCTTTCTTCTTGGAAGACCACAGTATTTTCGCTGATACCAAAGAGTATCACCGTTGTTGACGTGGCCATTTAGGGCACATGCAGTACAGCTGTGCTCTTGTGAAGCTTCACAGGACTCGGGGACCAAAGATACGGAGCTAATGATTAGCTAGACCATACCGTCCTTTGCACCAGGGCCAAATGTAGTCTGCTGCAAATCACCTTTCATTGCCCATAAGGTGTGAGAGCAGTCATTTATTTCCAGTGGGAAGTGTAAGAACAGAAAGTACTTTGCCACGAGGCAGAGCTTTGTGGGCAGTCTTGGATGCCTGATGCAAGGCTTTTTCCATTGCTTCCCAAAATGATGGTCTTTTCTGGCAGACTTCAGGCACTGGGAGTGCAAAAACACTGGCTAAATAGAAATCTCCTGCAGCCAGGACCTTCCAATTTAACATCTTTCAATGAACGCCAGAATTCACATACACCAAAGCTCTTTCTTCTTTTTAAATCACTGTGTGAAGGTCATACAAAATAGTTCATTTGCTGCCCTTTGCTGGGTGTCTTCCAAAGGTGGAGTGCCTGCCTTTTGCTAAGGGGCTTAGCATTTTGGCTTTTCTTTTTTTCAGTGTTGAAAGGTTAACATTTGTATTCTTTTCAGAATACAAAGGAAACGTGTCATCGCAGAGGCACACAGAGGAGTTAAATTTTCAGGGGTGGCACTGCAAATAGCATCTGGGCACACAGGTACCAAGGCTTGGTCCAACACGATTGGGAACAGGGCATCAGCTCTAGATTCAGGCCTGTCTCCTTGGGACAAGGTAGCGCTCGCGGTTCCTGCCAGCCCATCATGTTGCCGTAGGCGTCCGTCTGACAGTCGCAGAACACGCTGAGTCTGCGGTAGCTTTGTGTGCAGCAGCAATGAAGGATGAGAATCTGCGGGCCTCAGTGTAAACACCAGCTTTCCCCAGCAAAGCCAAGTTTGTCTTAAACTTCCTTCTGGTGGAATTTTATCTTTTCCCCTTGCCTTCCTACACCTATCTTTTATAGACCAAGGGGGTTTGCAGTTGTCAAGCTTCGTTGTAAAGCACTGAAAGGAAACTGTGCCCCATGTTCAGGTAGCGTGCCCAGAGACAGGCACCAGGCGAGGGGAAGGCATGGAGAGCCTGCAGAGCCCCATCTGTTTTGGCTTCCCAGGGCCGGTGCCACTAGATGGCAATGTGGTACTCCTGCAGCTGGGACTCCCCTTTTCTTTCCTGTAAAATTTCTTGCTTTTTCTGTATTTATTTCTGCCAAACTGATGATTGCACCCACCACCCCGGCAAGAGAACAGAACAAAATCATTTCATAGAACATTACAGCTGTTGTGCCTTTTTCTTTTCTTTCTTTCCCCCCCCAGTTCTTTGTCCCACAGCAGGGTGCAGAGGTTTAAAAACCTTCTTTCTTAATCGCTCTCCTTCTAAAAACAGAGAAAACACAGCCTCTTGGGAGCAATTAGCTGTGAGAAAAGCATTTCTCAAACAATTGCCAGGAAATATTGTCTTGACCGATATTCCTGATGTAACACTGTCGTTCTCAGTACTGTTATTCTAAGATACTCAACTGCAAAAACAGCAGGGTACAGATCTGTAATGTACAATCTGCAGCTTACCACCTACCTTACCTTTTTATATCCATTTACTTTCAGTTTGTGTCCTCCCTGCACCCCCTGTAGCTATTCTGTTTAGGAGAGTGAAGAATTATTTGTGACTCTCCTCTTGTGACTAGTGTATCAGGCCAAGGCTGTGACAAGACACGGCAGAAAATTAAGGTTATGCCTCTGCTGCCCTGGTTCCTGATTGAAATTCAGTGGCAGTGTGCTGCAGAGGAGGTCAGGCTGCATGCTTACAGCGATCCCTTCTAGCCTTAAACCTGGCAGCCGGAGAGTACGTGAGGTTGGTGAAGCCTGAATTTCAGTGGGAGCAGCTGGAGAGCAGGTATACGTGAAGCAGGCAGCAGAGGTACACTGAGACCAGGGTCTTGACCCTGAAAGTTCTCTCCCCGTCGTTGTATGCATGGAAGATGGACTGGGATGTAGGGTGGGGAGAGGTTGGAAGAATGGTGGTAAACTTCAAGCGCTAAAAGCCAGCGTTAGCAGTGGCTAGGAACCGCTGCTAGCTAGCCAGCTAGCTAGATGTACGTGCATGCATGCCCATTCGCATGCACAGCCATAACCATTTGTATTGTGTGGTTCAAATTTTGTCCCTCCTTACATAAATTCATGGAGATTTGAGAAACGAGCCTCACTCTGTGGGACAGGGTGTGAACTGAAGCACCTTCTGGAAGACAGACAGCAGTGTAATCCTTTCATTCAACCCTGTCTGCAGCTGCTTTTTATAAACTTGGCACAAATACGTACCCAGTGAGGCCAGGCCTGTGTAGCTGGAAAATATTTTCCACCATCCAAAAAAACAGAAGATTGGAAAAAGAGCCCAGAAATTGTGCATAACATGGAATGGCCTCGCTTGTGGTTTTTTTCCATGACTTCCTCGGCTCATTTTTCTGCTGCCAATTTTAGAAGCCCATAAGTCATACTTGTTAAACTTTCTCAGTTAAAATGTAACTCTAAGAACAAAGTCATATGATATGTTGCAGCCAAATAATCCTTCCAGAGCCTCTGACGGGAGAAAAGCTACCCTGATCTGGCCAGCTTGTGGACCTGCATGGGCTCCTGTCCCGGGAGAGGCAGGGCTGAGGGGGCAGATTCACGGTGTGAGGCCCGGCTGCGCCGCCCTCCCGGGTGAAGGCTTCCCCGTGGACTTCAGCAGGCGATTTTCCCTGCTTTTGCTAGGGTAGCCAGGCCCGTGGTGGGTCATGCTGCGGGACGGTCGTTGCAGAAATTTCAGGTCCTCCTCTAGAATGACTTTAAGCAGGAGGCGAAGCAGCGGAGGGAGCGCAGAGGCTGGCGGGGTCTGGCAATGGAGGGCTGAGACGCCGCTGTAGGAAGGTGCTGCTGCCGTCAGGGTGAAGGAACTGAGGGGTGAGGAGACAGCAGGTTGCCAAGAACGAAAGTGAATTTGCTGGAGGGTTTGAAGAAAGGGCATCCTCACTTCAGTGCGTTGTTAAGCATTGAATCAATATGGAAGTACTCGCATGCCAGGAGCAATATTTTTGTTTGCCAGTTTTGCTCTCTTTTATAAGGTGATTGTGCTTACGCCGGGCCCCAGATGGTTGCCTTGAAGTGCCATCCCTTGTCCAGGGTCTGCTCTCTCCCCTCCCACAGAACAAATCCCCGGTCACTGCTAAATTTACACTGGGGCCGTAGCCGAGAGCGGGACGTGGCTGTCGGCCCTGCCAGCCGTGGTGC